TGATGAAGATTTCATAGTAATTGGCAAAGTTTAAAAAATATTACACATTTCTTACTGTTTTTGAAATCTTCCAATCTATGATAGTCTAGACCTTCTTTGCATCCATCATTAGTTCTTTGTTGGAAATGATATATCTTAAGCAGTCAACTTGAATAGTATAGAATATATTCTTTATTAAATTGGCATATAATCTTGTATCTCTAAATTTTTATAACATACAAAAAATATGAACTTCATGCTCTTTTGTATTCTTAGAATAAATTAAGATGTCGTCTAAATAATAAATGATAAAATCATGAAGAAATTCACAAAAGACATCATTTATTAGATGTTGAAAAGTAGTTGGTACATTTAAAAGTCCAAAAGACATGATATTATATTCAAAATATCCATACCTAGTTCAAAATATAATTTTTCATATATTTCTTTTTTTTAATGTGTACTAGATTATATTTTCTTTATAGATCTATTTTTATATAGATATTTACTTAATTAAGTTGATCAAGAAGTTATAAAATCAAAAATAGAGGATACCTATTTTTAATGGTGATCTTTTTTAGTCTTTGATAGTCTACACACATTTGCAAAGATTTGTCTTTTTTCTTTACTAATAAAATAGGAACCTCGGTTGGAGATTTAAAATAGCATATAAAATTTTTAGCCAAATTTTTATTAATATATTCCTTAAGTATAGCCAATTTGCTTTGTAATAGGCTATTGATTAGTCTAAATGGTGGTTGGCTTCCTTCTTGAAGATCAATGGAACAATCATAAAGACAATACTTTGGAAAAATATTTTCATTCTTTTTTTCAAAAACATCCTAAAAATCTTAATACTTGCTAAAAATACTACTTGCTATCTTTCTACCATCAGAAATGGGCATGGCATATATAACAAAAGATGTCCATTCTTTTACAACATGCATGAAAGCTCTTGCACCTACTAATAAGGGTTTAGATATCCTAGACTTATATATTTTTATTTAACTAATGGAATTTTGGATTAAACTACCAAAAAAATTAAGATTATAAGAAATTCAATCTATTTGAAGATTATATTTTTTTAATCAAGATAATTCTAAAATAATCAAATTATACAAAGATCTTATTACATTAAATATTATCATACTATTATTATCTTTAATTTTTACATCTAAAAGAATAGTCTAATGTATAAGATATTCAAAAGATAACAAATGACCATCTATGACTTCTACAAGTATAATTTTAGTTTTTTTGACTAACAATATTTCTTATTTTTTGGAAAAAAAATTGTCTATAAAAAAAGTTGAGGCTCTTAAATCTAAAAAAGATAAGACTTTGTGATTTTTTGGTCCTAAATAAATTTCTATAGTAAAATAAGGTGAAGGATTTTAGGAGAAAATATGACCTTTATTAAGAATTATATAAGATTCTAACTGCATAGTTCTTATTATAGTTGGAGAAACTTATTTTTTGAAACATTTTTTTCTTTAGCAACCATGCTTTTTATTTTGTAGTTGCATTATTTCTTTGGATAATGTTCGGTGGTATGTGTACCTTCTCTATAATACAAGCATAAATCTTCTTGACATTATTAAGTCTATTTTTTGCTTTGTGAAGAATTTAAAATATATTATATCAATTTGCATTGATTATGGCCTTAATAAATAAGTTTTTGAAAATTTGGGAGCTTTCATCATTATTTGACTTGTTCTTCTTCAACCAAATCTTTACTCTTGACATCTTTTAAATAATTAATTTTTGCATGCAATGGCTTGAGCAATAAATTATTTCAAAGATTTTGCCTCTAATATTATTAATAACAAATCTTTGATATTATCCTTCAACCCATATCAAAAGTGATTGATAAGGGCTTTGTTATTTCAATCCATGTTGCAAACAAGCTTTTGGAATTTAAGAGCATATATAGTGGTTGACCATGATCTTTGCCATAAAAATAAGAGCTTAGTCTCTACTATTCTTTTTTGGTCATTTTTTCCTAATATAGCTGCAAACACTTCTAGAAATGAATTCAAATGATAAAGAAGTCACGAATCCTTTTCCAATAAAAGTACAAATCAAGAGAGATCACTTTCCAATAAAAGTGCACCTATGAATCTCACTTGAGTAAATCTATCAAAGTATTAGAAGAAATGCAACCTTATATAGAGCGTGACTTGTTGCAAAAATCCTCAAAAGTTTGATCTTATTCCATCAAACTTTTTAGACATATTAATCCTTATCCTTGACATACTTGTAGAAATAAAACTTTTTGGATTTGGTTGTGAGGTTGTTCTACTTACTTCCTTTAATTATACAACTTCTTAATGCAGACTCTGAACTTCTTCTATAGGCATAGGAATAGTACATCTATGATTAATATTAGAAATATGTTAGATTTCTACTCTTAGAATGTTTCAAAGCTCATGAAGATCTACAATAGTTGCAAATTTATTCTCACTTCCCTTGAAAGTAGTATCCATAATCTTTGCTTTCATAGACAATTCAAACAAATTCAAAAGTTAAATTAGAGGACAATAATCTGCAACCTCTAATATCAAATAAAAATTTACACAAAGAAAAAAAATCTACTTTCTTTAAAGAAAAAATTAGTATTAAAAAACAAGATTATTTGTTTAAAGGCGAGTAGTCAACAATCTTCAAAATACAATAATAGAAGTAAGACAATCTACTTATTTTTAAAATAAGGTAAAAATAGTAAGTTAGTACTCTTGTCAAACTATTAAAGACATGAATCTTGAAGAAAGAAATCCTTAATACACCCTTGTGTCACTCAATAGAACTAGAAAGTCACTTAAAGATGATATAGTATTAAACTAGAATAGCTATTGTCAAAGACAAGAAGATTTAAAAGTCTTAAAAGAAGACTAAAGACAAAAAAAGAGTTGACAAGAATAAAGAAGGCTTTACTCTTGCCTCCATATATATTCTTAACTAAGAACTATGTGAAACGTCTTATAGGACCTCCAAAACATGTTGACTTTGCAAGATATGTATCTTAATTTGAAAGGCAAGTTTTTTATATATATGCTACATAATTAGCTTGTTCTACGAGCTATCAATACATGGTTAATTTATTGATGAAGTTTCTAACCTACCAATCAACTACAAACACATGTAAAGTCAAAGCAATATCTATGAAGCTTTTAGGAAGCTTCTCTAAAAAATATTATGTAATAAATATATTTTTATTTATTTCTACTTAATCATATAGATAAATGTTAGAATAAATAAATATATATATATATATATATATATATATATATATATATATATCCGTGACACAAAGTCTATAGCATTTTTTATCCAATACATTTAAAAAAGTTAATTTAGTCATAAAACTAATAAAAGTATCATTGTATTTTTTATAGTTGATATATTGTATCACAAATTTTATTAAGATTAGAAGTGTATATCCATATATTTTTTCATCCACTAAAAGAGCCATATATCTATTCATTCATCTATTTAGCTACTTATGTAATCATCCATATAATAATTGTTTAAGATTATTTCATATTTAAAATTCTATCATTTAAATATTATTTTTTTACAAGAGATTAACATCTTTTTTATTTTAAGATTAAGAAGAATAAAATTGATGTAAAAAAAAATTATAATTAGTGGAGTTGGAACAATAATGCATTAATAACAAATATTATTTAGATGTATACACTTGTATAATAGAAGAGTAAAAGGTTATAATATTATTTAATCTACTAGTAATTACAAGTGATGTTACAACTAAAAATAAATAAATTATTAAAGTTGGTTGAATTGGTATTGTTAGTGCAATGCATAGAAACTACAATAATTATTTGTGCTATTACTTCTTAAGAAGTTATTGCAAAATATTGTAGAATTACATGTATCATAAATCTATTGAAGGTTGTTTAGACTTTAGAGATTTTCGATTGTTTTGTAGCTACTACAACTTGATGATGCTACTTTGCATAATAAAATCTATTAATATTAGATAAAATATTTAAAAATAGAAAAAATAAGTAATTTTTTATATACATTTAAGTTTTTTGCTATATAATTTATGATTTTTATTTATTAAGTTAATATATTATATATATATATATAATTTGTATCTTAATATTTATATATTTGATATAAAAGCAAACAATGTCTTATTTAATTTATGTTTTTATATAGTAAACATACAAAATAATTATATAAAAAATATTAGTATAACTTTATAATTAATCACCATAAAAATTATATACTTAAAAATATTTAAATTTACTTAAGAGGTTTCAATCTACCTAAAACTTAATATAACATGTTACTTCTATAATAAAGTTCTTCAAAATAAAATAAAGTATCTTTTTAACTAAAGAAAAAAAAAATTGTGTTTGTCATCATCCATCCAAACGTCCATACATCTATACAAATTATGTTGTCCTTTAATATTTTACTACACCTCAATGACTTCCTTTTATATTTTACCATATAAAGAAAAGAAAAAAAAACACACACACACAAGGAATTTGTAATGTTATTTTAATTGTGAATATCAAATTTAAAACTCAAAAAAAAAAAAAAAATAATATAAGAAAAAATTCTACTCTTCGCATCAATATAAATGTTACTTCTTTAATAAAAAAAATGGAAAGAAAAGAAAAGAGAAACCCTTTTTGACGCATTCTTGGTCCGAACTCAACCATGACTCAGGGTGGAAAGTTTCAGCTGCCCGAGCCAAACCGGGGGCCATCCCGAACCTACCCCTTGATGAAATTCGATAGATGAGATCAAAAACGGGAGAACATTCATCGACGCATTTGCCACCCGTCGACTGCGGAGGCAGCACTCAATGCTGACGTGGCATTGGGGGGGGGGGGTTTCCTTTTCTTTGTTTTTTTATTTGTTTATTTGTTTTGTTTTGTTTTTGTTTTTGTTTTTTTTTCTTTTTTCTTTTTTCTTTTTTTAGCTCCAGCGTCGTCGTCGTGGGTGTGGGTCACGCGCGATGCCGTCTTTGCCCTGTTTTGATTCTCGCATTAGACAACGCTTTCCCAGTTGTTGGAACCAATCACTCGACCCACATGGGTCGTGTTTATAAAATCACCTCGCTGGCTTGCTCGCTCGCACTGTGCCCCATCCTTGCCCCCCTGTGATTCCTCTGGATTTGTGTATAAGTGTCGCAGCGCTGTGAAGGGTCGGCTTTTTGGTGCGGGAGTTTATACATCCAGGGTTTCTTCCTCGTAATTTTGGTTTTTGTAACTTTGTTGTGATGAACTCCCCCCAGGAGTAGGTATGTCTTGAATGGCTTGAAACGATGCAGGGCACTCCTTTACTACTTCTTGGAGGGGATACTTTTTAATTCTTATTTTTAGAATAATTTTCCTCTTTGATGTGTGTGTGTGTGAGTGTGTTTTTTTTGTGTTTTTTTTTTTCCTCTGAATCTATTCATCAGCTGCCATGGCTGTGCACTCCAGCTGTTTTCTAAACTCAACTACTTGCTTCTCAGGTGGAGGTCGTTCCTGTGTATGTGACAGACAATCCAATTACTTTGAGGTTACGCCAGTAGTTAATTGAGTGGGTAGGAGGTTACGTTTGGAGCTATGGGGGAAAGGTCCAAGCTAGAGAGGTTGGTGTCGGATACAGAGCGCAGCATTCACGAGAAAAAAAATGTAGTGCTGCAAAAGATCGAACAGGAAAATGAAAGTCTCGAGGAGTTGGCTAACGAGAAGCCACCGGGTGGGGGCCTGCCACCCACTGAGGCCTTAAAATGCTTCTTTGACCGCATTCCTTTATTCTCTGTTCCAGGAATCGCCAATGCAGAAGGTTAGGCCCAGTCCCTCTCAGAAATCTGTGTCGCGACGTTAACGAGGATGTCTGCAATGAATCCCAACAAATTCAGGTCTCCAGGAAATTTTCTTCTGTCAGAACTCTGCTCGAAGAAGGAGAGAGATCTTAGCTTTTAGTGGACTTCGTATGCCTGCAAGAATTAGAAATCAATTTTATAATTCAGTTGCTGACAGGGCAGGTTTTGTTGTGATATTAGTGTTGGAGCTTGATATGAGGGACACTATAAGTACCGCTATTGAGAAAATGTACATTCTGAAAGTTCTTGGTGCTCCAATCCGGGATCCTCATAAGACTAGTGGTGTGCCATTGGCGGATCAGTACGTGGGTCTTCTGGACTTCGCCAGCCTTGTCCTCTGGGCTCTAGAGGTATTGTGGTTGAATTTCAATTTTTTTTACAGTTTCTCTTTCTCATCAGAAGCTCATCTGATCTCGTGAAGGGCCCATTGTTTCTAGTGCAATTCTATTACTATTTGATCCTCCCCCCCCCCCCCCCGCCTCTTTCCATTCTTGTTATTAGCGAGAACTGAATTTCTTCTCACTTGATGTGAAGGAGTTAGAAGTTGCAGAGGCAGATGCAAAAATTTCCGGTATGGCATTGAGCCCCACCGATGCACCTCAAAATGCCACTTCTTCCGTGGAAGCAAGAAATCCAAAAAGAGCAAAAGAGTTATTAGCACGTGCAGGGGAGAAACTGTCGCCGGGAGCGCAGGCGAAACAAAATTCACCGACACCTGAGAGCACATCAACTTCCCAAGAAGAACCACACAGCCGCGGAGGCTTCTTTGGCCTTTTAGACAAACTCGACACAGTGAATTCTACCCAGGTGATCACTACATCCGTCTTGAACAATCGTCGGGATGTTTATATTTGAAAGAGCACACATGCATTGTGCTCCAGCTGAATTACTCTGGCTCATTGAGGAAGTTTCTGTGTGAAGGTGAGTGTTATGGCACGATCATTTCGGTGGGGTCCCTTTCTGCCAGTGCGTCCCGAAGATACGCTTCTTCACGTCTTGCTTCTACTCTCCAAACATCGGCTAAAAGCTGTTCCAGTGGTGGATGCTGACTCGAAGAGCGTCAGGGGCTTCATCACTCAGGTATTACCCAAGCGTGCGAGCTCAAGCTTGGGTATAGAAACTGATAACGCACCTTTAGACAATACTTCTGAAATCATATGTCTTCACGGTATACCAAGGTTGTGCTGCAACAATTGTATGGGGTTTCTGTTCATGAGGAGATATCTTTTTGGGCGGTTTTTGCAATTTTTTCTTTGTTCATGTTGCTTCTGCTGGTCCCAAAGTCGTTTAAAAACAACTATGTGCGGGCTATATCTTTCTAGCATACGCTGGTGCACTAAGGTCGTCAAACCTAATATTGTGTTTTGGGGGTGTGCACAGGACGTTGCTGTTCAGTTATTGCTTCAGTGTGAGGGATTGCACTGGTTTGAGACAATTGCCGAGCAGAAACTCAGTAACGCTGGGTGAGATTCGTTTGCTAGTCTTGTTTAACTGTTGTTGTGATATTTATCGCGGATGGTAAGAGCAGGATGCTTAACCAATTCATTCCAAATCAAGCTGGGTCTCTCCGACGAAGGAAACATACTAATTGAGAGAATTTCTGGCTTTTAGGTTTGAAGCTGAGTCCAACGGGGGACAAATGATCTCAGTCCACGACGACGACACTCTCATGACAGCGCTGCGTGCAATGTGGAAGTACCGAATCAGCGGCGTGCCAGTTCTCGACCGATCTACTAAGCGCCTCATCGGAAACATCCGCTACTGCGATTTAAGAATAATATTAGACGAACCTGAAGTATTTTACCATCGCAAGTGAGTTCTCCTCCACCATCGTCTACATCTCCAAACTATGTCCTTTTCTCAACAAAACTGCTTCCAACTGCAATTCCTTTAGAGTTTGACAGTTGATGTAACCGTTCACTGGCAGGGAGATGCTTGCTCGGGATTTCTTGCAAGAAGATGGTGGCACGCATCCTCAGGAAACTCCCCAGCCAGAGGATTTCACGGCTGCAGCATCTGCTGCAGCACTGAGCCTGTCCAACATCCAAACACCAGGGATGCAGGACCCAGTGACGTTCAGCTCCAGTGACAGCATGAAGGAAGCTATGCAGAAGCTGTTCAGAGCTCGCAGCGACAGGGGGTTCATAGTGGACAACGAAGGACGAGTGAAGGGCGTGGTGACATTACGAGACATCCTGATGCAATTCTCTCCTCCTGTTGTAGAGCCACGCAATATGCACATGGGTGGATTCTTCGACACCGCCCTGGAGCAGACTGACGCTTTCCTGGGTCCCGGCTCCGTCGTCACGCTCCACCAGAGCTGATCCTATAACCGTATGCGCAGACTCACTGTGGTGCTTCTAAGCAAAATGAACCAGGCACACAGTCCACGTGGATGATGTCTTGGCAGGATATGTTGTAGTGTTTAGGATCTTATCGTAAGAGAGAGGAGTTAGTGAACTGCAACTGTGACTATAATTCTTTTTAATCTTTTTACACATACTGTAGTGAACCATTGTACACAGATAGGTGGGTTCAGTAAGCATGGTTAAGATTTCACAGTTGGGATTTGAATTGTTTATCTTTTTAACTTCTTATTATTATTTTGCAATCTTAGGTGTAACTTTGTCATTGTGTGGTTGCTGGAGGTCATTTTGGATAAGATTGTTTTTTCTTTTGTTTTATTTTTATCTGTATATGTAAAATAATGCTTTAGAGTCTACTCTCGATGTTGTTTTTTGTTTTTATTTTTCTTAAACTTTAAATTTGTATACATTTAACATTTGTTGGATTGTAAATGTTGGACAATTGTCAAAATTTGTGATATACTAAGGACAGGTTGTTATTTTTTGTTTTCAGTAAGTTTAATTAATTTTGATAAATATTTTAAAATTAAAATAAGGATGTTAAAAATAAAATTAAAACTTATAAAATTAAAATTAAAAGTACTAATTTTTATAATCACATTATTCACAATGTAATACTGAATGTTAGCTTAACATCTATTTGAAACTTATAAAGAGTATTATTTGATATACTTCATAGTAGTTATATACAAAAATATTTTTATTTGATTTTTTTTCAACATCTATTGTAACAAACCATATATATATACACAAAATTCTTGTTTTTGATAACTAGTGTACTTGAATATATATGACCTCTTGTTTATATATGCATATACACACATCCTTACCAAAGTCATCTACATACGTTCGTTCATGTGTACGACACTGCGAACAACAAGTGAAAAACTGCTCCACGTCAGCAAATCGAATCACACTCCTTTTACCAGAGGCTCTCTTATCTAACGAGATAGGTAACCTATTTCCAAGTTCAGACCCATAGCCGCGGAAAATCTACATAATCTATAAACATCCTTCGCTTAGAACACTCTTCGAAAAGTCTAGATATATCGTGGAATCGGTCTACAAATGCCCACCTGCAGGGCGAGAACTCTCTCCAATAGAAACTTCTAGAACTTGCAGCTCTGGTATAAGAAAATGGGAACCAGATAAATTTCTCCGCTGACTAGATCAGTATCTTCGATCAGTATCCCGCTGGGAGATACCGAGCAGAATTGGGATCCACGCACGGGTCGCATTCTTCTAGTTCCTCTAATTTGAGGTACTTCGTGGGGTTACTGTTGTTGCCTGTGGTTTGTCTGCTTCAGGTACCGTGCCGGTGTTGTCCATAGGGTCTATTTTGGTGTCTGAGGTGATGTCTGGCCGATGATTATAGATCTTGTTGACCAGCTACTTTTGATGGTTTCGACCAGATGATGTAGCACAATCCAACTATGAGGCTTGGTGGTTTTGGTTTGGATCTAAAGGTATGTGTTTTTATAATGACGAGTAGGTCATGACGAGAACTGTTTACTTGGGTCTTGATGTTTGAGTATTCAAAGGAAGATCTTTCGGTTTTTTGGTTCTCTTCCTCTTGAGATGTTTCTTTCTAGAGGCCGGCCGGAGTCGTGCTCTCCTCATTCCGGAGGGCTACAGAGGATTTTCCTGTTTGATACTCATGTGTTAGTCTGCCTACCACTGTCTTGAAACTTTGCCGAAACAGTGATGCAGGATCTGTCTTGTTTTGTTTTTAGGCTGAGACCTAAGTAACAATCTCCGTGTCTTTTAATGCCTACCCAAGTACATAAGCTTCTTGTTTACCTCAATGGTCACAGTTTTCTCGGTGATAACGACCTTACTTTTAGATCACGGATCTTAGCTAACGTCTGGCATGCCAGATGCCTTGAAGCACACTTACGTCTGAGAGAATTTTGATTTCGATTATCTGAAATTGGCTCTTGGCGCTGTACATCTGGACTATAAGTCCACTTAACTAATCTGGTGGGCTTAAGCCAATGCGTTGGACAAGTACTTCTTGTCAGTCTAAAGTTGTACTGTTAGTGTGCAAGTCACTGCACCGAAGATTTGTATCGACAGTGGCTTGTCTTGTTCACTTTTTATATTTTCTGCTCTAAATCTCGAAACAATCAGAAAAGCATATAGTCGAAGACTTATAAAACTTGGAAGATAATGGTAAATTACGTAAATTAGCCAAAAAACCCAGTCTAAAAACAATAGATAATGACATAACCTTCATTTAAAGTCAATTAACTGCAGTATTTTTCTTATCTCCTATTGCTATTGTACAAATTGTCCTAAGAAACCAACAATTAGAAGTTGTTCAATAAAAGAAATACTTCAATCTGATCCTTGATTTGAAAATATGGTTATTTAAAATAATTAATCTTAATAGATCTAATGAAAAATAGAAAATTATATAGTTCTTCCATATAACTATATAGAATTCGCCACAAATAAAGCTTTATCAATAGAATTTTGCAATTCATATTCAATACTTAAATCTGAAGTATATTTAAAAGATTTATATTTTTGAATTTCATAGTTTTACATAGATTTATTAAATATATTTTTTCAATTAATACAAGATAGATTGCAATCTAAATATTTCATCTCTGTACAAATTTTAGTATAAAATAAATCCAAATTATATTAATGTGTTTGAAGAAGATGTTGATTTGTACTTTTTTCAATAGCGTTTTAAACTCATTTCTTACAATATTTTTTTATCAAAAGTTTTTCCCACACGTATTAATTTGTATATGCATAAATGTTCTACTCTTGAATGTCACAAAAATAAAATAAAATAAAATAATTATTGCATTCTTTTGTTTCTTGAGAAGAAGCCAAACAAAAAGTTATGTATTATAAAACAAATAATATTTGAAAAGACTATGTAAGATATTATTAACTCAATATGGATTTTCATGATCAACATAAGTCTACTATTATTACGAATATATATATATATATATATATATATATATATATCTATATATAGGATATTACCAAATTCAATATATATTTGTAAGTTTTCTATTTATCACTCTTAAAAAAATGTTTTATTTTACTTACTATTTATAATTATTTGTGCTTTTAAATCCACTTTAAATTCTTTTGTGATATTTTTTTGAATTTTTATAATTCTTGCATAAATAAAAATATATATTCATAAATTCTTTTACTGATGTTTTTAATATTTTAATATTTTAAAGTATATATATATATATATATATATATATATATATATATAACATTGTTAATACTAACATTGTTTTTGCTACTGCCATCACAATTTATTGTTATCAATTTATTTTTATATCTCTCTTTCTCAATAAATATAGATATATATATATATATATATATATATATTTGAGGAAAAAAATAAAAGAAATTTATTGAGTGGGTGGGAGGTTGTAGTAGGAATAGCAAAAACTATGGAACATGTAATAGATGGAAAATTGTGATGGTATTAGTAAATTTATTGGGTGCATTATAAATACCCAATATATGTCATTTTTTATATATGTTTTTTATTTCAATTTATTGTAAAAAATTATAAAAAAATAAAGACAAATGAAAAATTTAAATAATATATTTCTATCAAATAAATTTCAAAGTTATATATGTATATATTTAAAATTATAATTATAAAATATAATTATAATCTTCTTATATTTAAATTATAAAAATATTATAACACTCATTATACATGCAACTAACAAAGATAAAACATAATTTATTTTGATATAAAAATATAATCAACCATATCAATATAAAATATAAGATTTATCAAGACTAGATTTTAGATTACATTTGGTGTAAAATAAGGTAGATTCTAATCTAATTTACTTAATTTTTAATTTTTCTTCTTATAAATGCATAAAAACCATTTTTTTGTTTAGATTAAAATTATAAATTTATGTAAATTAGAAAATTTCTTAGGTTTGATTAAATTCAAAAATTAAAATACTTCAAGAGAAATGTATAAGTAATTAGAAAAAAATCATGTTTAATTTGGTTCAAGAAAAAATAAAAATATACAATTGGAAACTTTGCTGTAAAAGTCCTCTACCACAACTTAGGTGTAATCTTTGTTATTACAATATTAAATATTATTTAATTTAAAAGTGAACTTGCTTCTATTTGAATTAAGTTGTGCTAATATAATTTGAAAAATTATTCATACATATAATGGTATTAGTTGATAGCAAAAAATCATTTAAAAGATAATCCAGAAATTTAATTATAAATTATTAGTTTTATATAAAAGAAAGTTTCATATATACAAAAGATAGATGATAAATGAGTACATTGTATAATGAATAAGTGGTTATTGCTAAAGTATAAAAAACTTAAAATTTTCAAATAAAAAAGATTTTAAAAAACAATTAATGAGATTAAAGTTGATTCTAATCTTCCACTTATGTATATTTCTTTTACATGTAATTATAAGATAAACGTTTTGGCCAAATTGCAATTAGAGATCTTTTAGATAATTTTAACTTTTATATACACTCATGTTATTCTCAATACATCTTAATTTTTGAATTTTTCTTTAATTTTTTTTATAGATATTTTAAAAATAAATTTATAATTTTTGTAATTTTATATTATATTATATATATATATATATATATATATATATATATATATATATATATCTTAAATTTATTTTATAGGTGTATACTTATATTTAGTGGCATTTTCAATACAAACAATGTGTTTATTATTAACCATGTATTTGAAATAGTTTAAAGATAATTATACAAATATTAGAAGATAAGATCTAAAATTAAGATCTAAAAAGTTAAATTTCTTTAAAAATTATTATTAAAATTTCTTTTAAGTTTTTAAAAGAAAAATATTAATATTTTTTAATTTTAACATCTAATTTTATTGTAGAATTAATATGACACCTATAATTATAAAAACAAAAAATATTAGTTTATATCCAATAAACATATATATTATATATATTTAATATTATTTCAAAACTTAATATTTTAGTTTTTAGTCTCTATTCTATTATAATATTTTTATTTATAAACCAATTATATAAGAAAAAAATAAAACTTAATAGATTTTTTTAAGTAAAATATTTGAGATACCATTGAAAGTGGTATCAAGGACACAAACCTCAAAGAACTAGAAGGTTGATATATTCTTGTGTCACTAAAAAAGACTAAAAAATCATCCAAAGTTGATATAGTATTAGATTGGAATGGCTATTCTAAAAGCCAAGAAGACTAGAAAG